TCACTCTTACTCACATTGGATATCACTGTTGATTCTTGTCTCTGCAAGATGTCAGAAGAGAGTGCGGCAGGAGGGATGGGCAGGAAGTTGAAACCGTCGGGTAGCAACCCTGAGGCCCCAGACAAGAAGGCGGCGAGGACGGAAGCAGAAGGGTTGGAAGACGACGACGAACGTGAGACGCCAATGCCGAGCTGGGCACGAATGCTGATGAATAAGATGGACGGGGTCCAAAGCACAGTGGATGGGATGACAGGTAAAGTAGAAAGGGCGGTGGCAGAGGCAGCTGAGGCCAAGACAGAGGCGAAGCAGGCGTCACTCGCCGTCAAAGGTCTCGAGGAGAGCATGGTTACGAAGCAGGAGTTGCCGGAGCTGGTGAAGGGCATCTTGCAGGAGGGTCCGACGATTGCCGGCGGCGTGCACGTTGCGGGCGACCCAGAACCGGTCATCTTTGGTGGCTTGAAGGGTGCAGGCGCGGTGGAGGAGGCGGAGCAATGGGTGAACCACATGCTCAATACCGCAGGGCTGCCACGCATCATCAACCCATACATCAAGAGCGAGAATTTCGAGAATATCATGTTTGCACAGTTTCCTTCCAGGAAGACCGCTGATGCTGCAATCGAACTTTTTCGGCGGAAGCAGCCTACATTCAAGGAAGCCGTAGTTTGGTGCAATATTGACCGCCCCCTGCATGCACGTATCTCCCTCAAGCTCCTCTTTAAGCTCAAGAAAATCTTAGGCGGTTGGGGGTTTAAGAAAGGGAACATCACGATCGATGAGGAGAACACCATTTTAAAAGTGGGCGGGGTGAGTGTTGCCAAAGCGCAGGTGCATGGAGGAGCTCTGACGGTCGAATGGCCGAGTAAGGAGTGGAAGGACTGGAAGGAGCTGCAGGACTCGCAAGAGCTCAAGGACTTGATCCAGCAGTGCCAGACCGACTTGGCACATGCGTACATCAGGCAGAGCAAAGGGCTTGGCAAAGGGAAGCCCCAGCCAGCCTGACTATCAGAAGCAAGCCCAAGGAGCCGGGAACATGGGGCCGGCATGCATACGAATTCGGGGACTATGAGTACGGGCGGCGGACTCGGAAAGTATGTTCGAGCAGATGGCGATTTCCCTTCATGTTTACAACGTGCGGGCTCCGGCCGGGAGGGGGACAGACTACGCTTGCGTGGTCCCTGGAACCCGAGTGGCAACGTGGCAGCACCCAGGGAAGCTATGCAGACCAATACCAGTTTCACCATTATCACATACAATGTGAATTCTATGATGTTGATTGACGAGCGCTTGGAACGATGCTTACTCGAACTTGAGGGTCGCAGCTGGGATGTCATTGCTTTTACGGAGACGTGGAGAGAGGACACGAATGAAGCATGGGATACGATACATGGACATCGTTGGTTTGGGAGCGGGGGGACGCCTCGCAGCGCTGGTGTAGCCTTTCTGTTGCATCGACGGTGGGACCACGTGATGTTCAAGGCCGTCTCCAACCGCATTGCGGCTTTGGACGTATGCGTGTTATCTCTGGGTCGAGTTCGTTTCGTAGTTGTGTACATGCCACACGCTGCACAGAGCGATGATGAGGTAGACGCTATATATGATGAGATTCGCAGGGAACGCCGGGATGCACAGAGGAATGGCTATAAGATCGTTATTGCTGGAGACTTTAACGCAGAGATTGGCGCACGGCGGGAAGATGACGACGACGGAGTGATTGGCGACAATTGTATGATTGATAGAACAGACCGGGGCTCGCTATTATTACACACATGCTCGGTGGAAGAGCTCTTCATTGCCAATTCTTTCTTTTCCAAGAGTTTCGAGACATCGTGGACGTACCGCAACGGGGAAAGACGCTGTCAACTTGATTATATATTGTTGGACAGACGATTGTTTTCTGTGACAACAAATGCTTTTGTTGCTGCCGATGTTGACATTGGTTCAGATCATCGGCCCGTGTTCGCGGAGATCTCTGTTCCAAACGACGCTCCTCGGAGGCGGCGTGCGAAACGAACGAGACGGAAGACGCCCTGGCAGCCAAGCAGCCGCTATCGAGATATTTTGGAGAGGTGTCTGCGAGAAGTGCCGTGGCAAGAATGCAACGCAGCAGAACGCATTGTTAATTTGAATTGTTGTTTGGCCAAGGCAGCTACTGAGGACGAGGAGCAGAGCCCAGATGTTGATGAAGTGCCTGACCCAATCGACGCCAACTCCACAATCCATCACCTCATCAATGCTCGGCGGGCCATTGCGCAATCGGATCTGCCACAGACGGAAAAGAAAGCCTTGAGAATTAGCATTGGAAAGAGGATACAGTCGTTGATTCGCCATCGCCGGGTTTTGGAGCATACTGCGAAAATTGATAAGATTTTACATCTTTTCCGCGATGTCAAGCAGATTCCCTCCATAACGAGCGGGCGCCCCAAGTCCCACATTACCGGAATGAAGGACAAAGCTGGCCAACTCGTGAACGAGAAGCATGATATTGCAGAAGTTTTTGCGTTGTTCTACGAAGAGCTGTACGCGAGCACCAGGCCAGAGCACTCGCAGAATACATATTCTCCTGTTGGTGACAATCGAGTGCCACCGTTCACCATGGAAGAACTGAAAGAAGCGATACGCCAATTGAAGCTTCACAAAGCCGCTGACGACAATGGCGTGAGAGCAGAGCTGATTAAGATTGACTCTGAGGTCTTGCGGGATCTGCTGTTGGATACGTTCAACGAGATCCTGAACCCATCCGCAGAATTACCGAGTGGTTGGCTCCGGGCTCGCATCACAGTGCTCTACAAGAAGGGGGACTCTTCTTCACCTTCGAATTACCGCCCCATTGCCATCTTGGAAATATTATACAAACTGTTCAGTCGAATGCTATGCGAAAGGCTGAGGCCCACCATCACGAGAGAGCAATCGACAGACCAGGCGGCATATCGGAAAGGATATGGAACCATAGACCATATGTTGACAACAACGTTACTCGTGGAAGCGTGCAATGAGTTCAACACGCCGCTTTGGATCTGCTTGGTTGACTTCGAGAAGGCCTTTGATACAGTGGAACACGAGAGTCTGTGGGAAGCACTGGCAGAACAGAACGTGGGACATGAGTATATCAACTTGCTCAAGCGACTGTATGCCAAACAGTCGGCGTGCGTCACGGCAGGCACCAAGAGCAGAATGTTTGACATATATCGCGGTGTAAAGCAAGGCGATCCTATTAGTTCTTTCCTATTTGTCGTCGTCATGGAGGCGATTTTCCGGAAGCTGAAGGTGCGCTGGGCTAGCCTGAACCACAAGCGTCTTGGATCGTACTACGGCATGGTCATTGACAGCGCCGACGACCCCCTCACCAATCTCAGGTTTGCTGATGATGTGCTGATGGTGGCATCCTCTGCCAGAGACTCTTCAAGAATGCTTGTTGATCTGGAGACGGAGGCGCGCAAATACGGTCTCAGAGTGCATATGGGCAAAACAGTACTTCTGACAAACGTCAACAACAGGCCGGCCACTTTGCGGTGCGGGGGTCACAATGTGCGAGTGCTTCAACACGGCCAGTCCGAGAAATATTTGGGACGCAAGCTGTCTTTGGATTCCTATCACGAGACGGAGCTACAGTACAGGATTGGGTGTGGTTGGGCAGCATTCGCAAAACGCAAGTTCACGTTCTGCAACCGGCGTATCAAGTTGCAGCACCGCATGCGGTTGTTCCAAGCATCCGTTGCGCCGTGTGTGATATATTGTTCTGGTGCATGGACGCTCACGCTGGAGCAGCAACGACAATTGCAGAGTGCGCAAAGACGGATGATCCGAATGATTCTTGGTGCACGGCGGCTCCCTGACGAAGATTGGGTAGGTTTTATCAAGCGTTCTACATCAGCAGCGTCATACCTTGCTCAAAAATACGGTGTGCGTGATTGGGTTGACGATTTCCAAGATACCAAGAGTCGTCTCCGCGATAAAATGCAATCGGCTCCTGGCGGGCGCTGGGGGACGAGGCTACTGGACTGGCACCCATGGCACCACGTACATGCCCAGAGACACGTTGGACGACAGCGAAAACGTTGGCAAGACACTTGACAGCACAAGTGAGCGGTGCGCGCGGCCCGGCGTCATGCTGGGGCAGACTCTTCTGCCCTACGGGCCCTCTCTCTCTCTCTCTCTCTAGTCCCTGGAAGACACTGGACAACACAACGTTTTTCACTAGGGTAGTGTCCGGGCAAAGCTACAACAACTGGAAAAGCTGGAAAACAGCGTTTTTCATTAGGGTAGGCCTGTGGGAAAAGCTGGGAAAGTTGGAAAAGCTGGAAAACACAGCGCTTTTCATTCGGGTAGTCTCTGGGAAAAGCTGGGAAAGCTAGAACAACTGGAAAAGCACAACGTTTTCATTCGGATAGTCTCTGGGAAAAGCTGGTAAAGCTGGAAACGCTGGAAAGCACAGCGTAGGAGGAGGACCAGGAGGAGATGGAGGATGACGACGACGAGCGAACGATCAAGGAAGGTTTTGCTATTTTGGTGGTTTGGGGGTGCTGGGGGTGCGCACGCACACACACATATATATATATATACACATATATATGTATATATACACATATGTTTACACATATATATACATGTATATACACACATATATACACATTTATATATATATATGTACACATATATGTACATATATGTATCTATACATATATATATAAAAATGTATATATGTATATATGTATATGTATATGTATGTATATATATATATATATATATATATGTGTGTGACACCAAGCACATAGCACCGTACACATTAGTCATGGTATATCGTATTTTATGAGGTGCTTCACCTCTATTGCATTCGGTAAAGCCTGCACCACATATATTGCAACACGTATGTTGCTCCACATTGCACCACGTATGTGGCTGCACGTAGACTGCACCGCACATAATGCTAGAAACGCGCTGCTGGGGTCCAGACCTTTTTGTCCTCCCCTCGTGGCCCTCCTCTTTGTCCTCCTCCCCGCGAGGACGGTGGCGACACCGTGGTCGTCTGGGTCGGCTCGAATTTCATCAACGCGGAGCGCAGGACAGGGGGGGTCGGAAGCAGGGAGCCTCGCACCCCCCCTCTCTCGCCCTGACTCGCTCCTGCTTCTCCTCCTTTCCCCTTCCTCCCGTCTCCGTGCACCTCCCTGTTCTGTATCCCCCTTCTCCTTCCCCTCCACTCTCTTACCCTCCTGCGTGCGGATCTGTCGCGACCAGAGCTCTATGATCCGAGACCGGCTCACTCCCTGAGTGTCCCTTACACAAGACATGTCCCCCCAGGAAGCGCCTGATTCCGAGGCTTTGCCTCCTCCCGGCCTCGTTATGAGGCTGCGCCCCCCTTTTCCTCCCCCATCTCTGGTTAATTCAAGCTTCGCGCGGCCCGCTTAGCTTCGACTGGAAGAGGTGCGCTCTCGACCGGCGAATCAAAAAATGTCCCCCGTGGAACGGCATGCAGACGGCGGCCACTCCCAGGGGGCGGCCCCTCCTCCCCCCTGCCCGCGTTGCTGCGTTGCGTGCTCCACGAGCGTACCTCCACCCGCCGAAGCGCCCGACCGCCGCGGCCGCGGCGGGGCGCACCCCGGGACGCGCGAACGAGCGAGCGACGAGCGAGAGCAGGCGGCGGCGGCTTCGGCCCGACTCACCCTCCCTTCAACCCCTCCCCTCTGGCCATGCCCTTCTCGTTCCTCTCGTTTCCCTGCCCTCCTCGCCCACCCGCCTCCTCTTCCTGCTCTCGTTCATCATCCCTTTGTGCTCCCCCTGGCCCTCCCGCTGTCTCTCCCCCTGGCCCTCACTCTCAGGGGAGGAGGAGCAGAACAACTGGGTGGGCAGAAGGATGTGTAGGAAAAGGGAATGCGGAGGAGGAGGAGCAGGAGGGGGAATGTGGAGGAGCTGGAGGAGGGGGTGGAAGTGGCGATGGAGTAGGGAAAGGAGGACGGAGGCGTGCGTGCAGGACAGGGCAGGGTGGGAGTGGAAGATGGGGGCAGATGAGAGACGAGGAGGGAGGTGGAGGGAGGAGGAGGGAAGAGTACAAGGAGGACGATGAGAAGGAGGCAGAGGGCTGGCCAGAACGCGCCCAGTATACTACCGAAGCTGCAGGATACCCTCCCGCCCTGAGTCTCGCCACCAGAAGTCATCAGCACGCCCTGGTATCGGAAACATGCGTGTGTTCTGGGAAGGCCTTACAGCCGGTGCCGCCAACCCTGAAGGGGGGCGACGACCACGGCGGCGTCGGCGACGACGACGACGCTGACGTGGGACCTTGTCCTCAGTGATGCTTCGTGGGGCCTCTTCGGAGCGCGCTCGTAGGCCTCTGGTGGGCAGTGTATGGGCCTCTTGGGAGCATCTTGGGGGGCAGTTTTGGAGCCTTTTGGGAGCATCTTGGGGGCATTTTGGGAGCGCCTTGCAGTTCCCTTCGGGCTTCCTGGGCCTCTTGTGGGCCTCTTGGGGCCTCGTGGGCGGCCTCGTGGGGAGCCTCTTGAGGGCCTCTTAGGGCCTCCTGGGAGCTTCTCGGGGCCGAGGGCTCGAAATGTTCGTCTGGACTCCCGTGTGTGAGCTGTTTTGGAGGCCTCTTGGGCCGTTTGGGAGGCCTCGAGGGCCGTCTTGGGGTCTCTTGGGTCGTTTTGTGGCCGTCTTGGAATCCTCTTGGGGGCCTCTTGTGCCGATCTTGGTGGCATCTTGGGCCGTCTTGGGGCGTCGGGAAGCCGAAATGGCGAGAACGCCACAGTCTCTCGAAAACCCTGAAGGCTATCGTTGGGTTTTGCATGTCGGGGCCCTCCTGGCTCTGCCGTCGATTCCGGCGACGCCCAGGTACGGCGCCTCCCGGCTCACAGAATCGACCACCGACCGCATCGCCAAGGTCGAATGGCACCTGTGGGCGCTCCCCCGAACGCAAGGCGGGCCAAGCATCCCCGGCACCCCCTTCCCATCGCCCCCTGTCTGCTCGACCGCGGAGCTCGAGGAGACCTTTGCCAGCCTGAGCCCCGTCGTTGTCGCTTGCGTTTCTCCACCCCGTGACCCCCCGAGGGGGGCGCAGCTCCCATCAGCGATGGTCCTGTCCCGAGGAAGCTGCCTGCTTCTGGGAAGTTCCACCCACAGAGCTCGCAGAAACGGCGGCGAGGGCTGTCGTCGTCGTTCTCCGCGCGCTGGCGTGCTGTTGATGGCGGTGCTCTGGGCGTCGGGGACGTTCCGTTCGAGCTTACGCCAGCGCTGGCCAGGAGATCGGCGCTAGCGGTTCCATGCAGGCGCCTTCTCGGGCGGGGTCAGGACGAGGACAGATCCGTTCCAGAGTGCTCCAGAACGCTTTCAGAGCGTTTCGGGACGCTCTGAGGAGGCCGCGGCGGCCGATACATCCTCCAGAGCCGCCGGATCTCAGCGAACTCGACCCCTACCCCCGATGATTTCTGAGGGGGAGGGTGGGGTTCACTTCACTCGGGAGCTATCCTCACCCGATTTGATCCTCGTCTTGGCTCCGTCTTACCCTCCGGGCCCCTCCCGCCTCCGTGACCCCTCTCTCCTGCTGGGCCACCGTGTCGCGTGGCTCCCGGCCCCCCCGCCCGGGGTTGATGCCTCTCGCTGCTGGCTCTGCCTTGGTGATCCCCCAGGGTGCCCTCCCGGGGCTCCTGTCCTGGTCGGACGGGCTCTCCCCCCCCCGCGGTAGAGCTGCGTGTCCGTCAAGGTGACGGTGGACGGGGGAGGTATGAGGCGACGGTGAACGGTGAAGGTGACTGTCAAGGTCGAGGTATAAGATCGAGGTCGGTTCGGGGAGAATGCCCTAACGTTCTTCGTGCTTGCTGGATGTTCTTGTGCAGCCTGGGGAGGGTACCCTCGGATGCTCTGTGTGTTTTGGCCGGCGGAGGGTCGTCGTGTTCTTGAAGGATGTTCTTTTGCCCTGGGTCCGACTGCAGTCGGGCCTCGCTGCTTTCCGCTTCTTCGAGCTCTGGGCCTCACAGCCGCAGCGGCCAGCTCTGCCTCGTGCCGAGCACCCGTGCGCGCGCCCGCTCGCTCCTGGGCCCCCGACAGGCCAGCGCTGCCCCCCCCGGGCGCCCTCCTCCCCCGCCCTGCTCCTCGTGCCCCCCTCCCTCTGCGCGGTCGGCCCCCTTTGCCTCGATCGGCCCGGGGCCGCTGCAGGGCCCTGGGCGCCGCGGCGCCGGCCCTCACCCCGCCCTCGCCCTCTGCTGCTGGACGCCTCCGGCCTGCTTCGCTCTCCCCGCCAGATCGCAGAGTTCTTCGGGCCGCGGCGCGGCCACGTCGTCTCTTGCTGCTCCGCCATTGCTCATGCAGCAACCAGTTGGACGCACTGCTCACGAGATCCTGAGATCCTCTCGGCAGGGGGGCCGTCCCGGCCTCTCCCTTGGGGATCGCCTCCACGGCCGCGGCCGTTTGCAGCGCGCCGCCCTGCCTTGCCTGCCTTTTCGCGGCTTCTCCGCCCGCGTCGCTCTTCTCGCGGTCCGTCGCCGCTCTGCTTTTCCAGGTCGTCCCTTGGCCACCTTGTGGGTCCACGCTGCTCACTCGCCCCCCCCGCCTCCCAGTCCCGGTTGGCTGAATGATGTCACCCTCCACCTTACCGTAGTCTCTCGTCTATCCATCGCTCCCCCCCGCCATCCACGCCCGGATGGTTACGGTAGCCGGCAGCGGCGTGGCCCCAAGCGATCACTGAGTGCTCGGGCGGGCTAGGCTCGCGTGCTCGTCTGCTGTTTTTCCAACCTTGTACGCCTTATCGCAGTGCGCAGGGCCGCGACGCAAAACGAGTGTGTGTGTGTGTGCATGCGTGTGCGTGTGCGTGTGCGTGTGCGTGTGCGTGTGCGTGTGCGTGTGTGTGTGTGTGTGTGTGTGTGTGTGTGTCGACTGGCTGCGCGCTGTGCTTTCGGCAGCGCTCGATCGCAATTGGCACCTCTATCTGCTGTCCGCGCTTGGGGATCCTCTGCACCGTCGACTGTGTTTTTTTTGTTTGTTTGTGTGTGTGTGTGTGTGTATTTGTTTGTTTGTTTGTTTGTTTGTTTGTTTGTTTTGTTTTGTGTTTGTTTGTTTGTTTGTTTATTTGTTGTGATTGTTGTGTATCTGTGTATCTGTGTATGTGTGTATGTGTGTATGTGTATGTGTATGTGTGTGTGTGTGTGTGTGTGTGTGTGTGTGTGTGTGTGTGTGTCTGCGAGTCTGTGTGGCTCCACCCGTCTCCCTCCCTGCCCTTCACAGCTTAGGCGTTTATTCTAGACGCTTCGCGTAGCCCCGCTGGCCCATCCAGAAGCGATGCCCAGACCAGACGAGTTGCCCTGATCAAGGATGTGGAGGGGCATGCAGTGGAATAGAGAGCTGGGTAAGACGTCGTACCCTTAAGAAGGGGAGATGGAGGGGCGGGGCGAGGAGGTGGGTGAAAGGGAGAGCGGGAGGGGGAGGAGGGAGGAGAAAGGAGGAGGCATAGGCAGAGGAGGAGGAGGAGGAGGAGGAGGAGGAGAAGGAGGAGGGGGAGGGGGAGGGGGAGGGGAGGGGGGAGGGGAGGAGGAGGAGGAGGAGGAGGAGGAGGAGGAGGAGGAGGGAGGAGAAAAGGAGGAGGAGGAGGAGGAGGAGGAGAAGGAGGAGGAGGAGGAGGAGAAGGAGGAGGGGGAGGAGGAGGAGGAGGAGGAACAAGAGGGCGGGCAGAAAGACCAGAAGCCTCGTCGATGCTTGTCGGAGTCTCCTCGGATTTTTCCCGAGAGTTTCCTGGAATCCTTTTTGGGTGTCTTACGGGGGTCTCTTGGGTTGGGTGCCTCTGGGGACCCTCTCGGTGCCTCTTGGGGGTTCGTTGGGAGCATCTCGGGGGCCTTTTTTGGGGGCCTCAGGGAGGCCTCTTGGGGCCCACTGGGCACCTCTCCGGGCCGTCTTGGGACACCCTTGGGAGCCTCGGGGGCCATTTAGAAGGAAATGGATCAAAGGACAGGCCGTAATACATTTGGGCCCCCTCCTCCCTGGAGGCCAAAATGTGGCCAAAGCCTTCGGGTAACAAATGACATTAGTCTTTTCGCCGAGGCCTCTTGGAGCGTCCTGGGTGCCTCGGGGGGGCCTCTTGGGGGTCTCTTTGGGATCTCTTGGGAGCTTCTTTGGGGCCTCTTTGGGGTCTCTTGGGGCCCTTTGGGGCCTTCTGGGGGCCCCTTGGGGCCTCTTGGGCATCCCTTGGGGTGCTCTGGGGAGCCTCGGGGGCCATCTTGGGGCCACCCTGGAATATATCGATCCAAGGAGGGGCGCTCCTGAATTGTCCTCCCCCCAGAAGGCCAAACTGTGGCCAAAACCTTGGTAACATCGAATATTTGGGCTTCTTCGCCGAGGCCATCTTCTGCGTTCCGCCGCCTCGCGGAAAGCCCCGTCCAGACCCAGGGGAGGGGGGGGGGGGGGGCGGGGTCAAGGCGTCTTTTCTGCCCGCAAGCTGTCTTGCTCACACCCACCCGTCCTCCCCAAACATAAGTGGCACCCGGGCCTCAGCATGCTCAGCGGTCGTCTATGGATGGGCAGCTCGTGGGAACCGATACACTCCCCGTGTGCGCGATGGGGCGAGCTGCGCCATGCGTGCCTGGTGCTCTAGTGTGCCAGGCACCCCTGGGGCCCAAGCGTGCCAGGCACGCCTCGCGCGCCAGATGCGCCACGTGCTCCGCGTGCGCCATGTCTGCCGCATGGTCCAGCCGCGCCAGGTGCGTCACGTCCAGGGCACGCGCTGAGTGTGCCATGTGCGCCCGCGTTCGTGACAGCACACAGCGGGAAACATGTCGTCGGCCCCCATCATCTTTTGTGGAAAAGACTGCACACTCGCGGCGGGGAGGCCATCATTGTGTCTGGTGGGCCTGCACACAGCAGGCAATATGCCAGCACCCCCGCGGTCTTTTTCACACACCAATGGACGTTGATCGCGGGGTGGCCGCGCATGATCCAGATTTAGCCGCGAAGTGCATGCTGCATGGTCTTCTGACAGGTATGGTGGCCTTGCGCGAAGCAGGCAATATGATGACACCCCCGCCATCCTGGTCAAAAGCCATACAAATTGTTCGCGGGGCCCACGAGCATGACCCAAGATTTTACCCCAAAGTGTTCCGTAGCCATTTTGGCTCAAATTCCGGCCCACGCGCACAGACCGTTAGGCATCGGCAGCGCCGCTGTTTCCTCACCCAAATTGCAGAGATGGCGCCGATGATGAAGTCCACGGTCATGACCAAGAGCGCCCTCACCGCAGCGCTGGCGGAGGCGTGCGAGGTGAAGAGGGGCGTGATCGGCACGGCCTTGAGCACCCTCGCGAGCATTGCGACACAAGAGGCGAAGAAGAATGGCAAGTTCGTCATCCCGGGCGTTGTGATGATCAAGACGCGCCAGAAGAAGGCGACCAAGGCGGGCAAGCGCGAGATTTTTGGCAAGGTCGTCATGGTGAAGGCGAAGCCGGCCAAGACCATCGTGAAGGCCTTCCCCGCGAAGGCCCTCAAGGACGAGTTCTGAGGGCCTCTTGGTCTGTGGCGAGCCCCGCGAAGAGGCTCCGCGTGTGCTCCTCCAGTCCCTCCTCGTCCATTCCTCCCTTCTCCGAGGAATCTTCGTGTCATTTTGTCCAGGTTGGCTGGAGGGTGCGTGGTCATGCATGGCCTTCCGGTGCCAGGGCGCTCGGCGAGGGCGACCTTTTGTATTCCACATCCGCCTCGCAGAGAAAAACAAATAACAGATTTTGCCCCACATTGTGCATCGTATTGTTTTTTGAGAGGGATGGGGGAGGCATTGGTCTTGGTTGGCTGCCGGTCGCCTGGGGGAGAGGGTGTTTGTCAATAGGTTACCGTGAGAGACCCTTCCCCGAAAGGGAAAGAAGGGGGTTGAAAGAAGCAATTCCCTAAACCATTCACGCCCTGAAGAGCTGGTGGGATTTGTTTGTCCCACAGCCACATTTCTGGCATTCGCATGGTAATACCTCTCAGTAAGCCGCCGACTGCAACTATTCCGACAATGCCCCACGCGTCCAGTCACCATGCGCCCGCTGCGTCGCAGGTGAGTGTGTGTATATGCATGTTTCTTGGCCGACTTGCCCGTAGGATGACGTCGCTCCTCGAAGTCATCGACGAGCTCCACAGCCTCGGGGTGAGCAATCCCCTGCGGCCCCCCTCCCACTCTCCCCGTCCCTTTCTCCTCTCTCCTCTACACCTGTTCAGTATGAAAACTACTTTTCCTGATCACCTGACGACTTTGTCTGGAAGATGTCCCGCACTCTCCGCGTGCTGTCTTATCTCACACGGGATTTCAACAGGTGTTCTTCATATAGTGTTTTCTTGTTGTCCCTTTTTTTCCAATCGACACGTATTCGGTGCTCCAACATTATGCTATCGCGGCAGAATTGGCCTCGTTTCAGGGACGGCGCTTAGCTCCCGTTGCTCAGAGTGGCGCCCTCGCCCCAGCGTGGGCCACATTCTGGATCCCAATGCTTCCTCGCCGTTGTCGCCGCCTTCCTTTCCCCTCCCCTGCCTTTCCCTGGTCCTCCTGCTCCTCCTGCTCCTTCTGCTCCCGCTGCCGCAGTTCCTCCTCGTCCTCCTTTCTCCTCATGCTCCTCCTCCTCTTCCTCTTGTTCATTCTCCTTCTCGCCCGCCACCTTCTCCTCCACTGTACACAGCCTCCCTGTTCATACTGCGCACAACACGATCGGAGTCCTGTCGGGGGGGCTCAGGTCCGCTGTGACACCAATCGGTGGACGGAGGGGACATCATCGCAGTGGGGAGGGATGGGCGGGAAGGGTAGGACGTCAGATGGCGCGAGCGCAACCTATCTTGCCCCGTCCCGTTATCCCCTCTCCCAGTCCTCTCCTCCCCGTCCCCCCTTCCCTCTCTCTCACTGTCCCTTCTTTCCCCACTCCCTCCCCCTGTCTCCCTTGCCCTCCTTCATCCTCTTCGCCGTCTTCCCCGATATCTCCTCGTCCCTGTACCCGTCCCGCCGTTATCCAGCTCCCGATTTCTTTTTCTGTTTCCTCTCCCATCACACCTTCTTTCTACCCTCATCGCCCTTCTTCCCCCCAGCCCCCGTTCCGTCCTCAATGCGTCCTCCGCTGTTCGGCCTCTGTCCTCTACCGTCCATCTACTATTCTCTATCCTCCCTCTGCCTTTGTCCCTCTTGCCTGTCACGTCTCTTGCTTGTCGTCTTCCGATTCCCGAAGCACTGCGTGCACTTGGGGGCTCTTATTGGTTTTCAGAAGAACTGGGCTCGTTTGTCGGCTCCGCCGCCTTGTTGCAGCCGTCGCTGCTTCGTCGCCGCCTCGTCGCCGCCCAGCGTCTGGGCTCGTTTGTCGGCTCCGCCGCCTTGTTGCCGCCGTCGCCGCCCCGTCGCCGCCTCGTCGCCGCCCGTCGTTTTGGCAGATCCACCGCCGTACTGCTGCCGTTCCGTTCCCGTCGCCTCCTCGTCGCCGCCCGTCGTCACGGCTCGTTTGCCAGGTCCGACGCTTTGTTGCCGCCGTCGCCGCCCCGTCGCCGCTTCGTCGCCGTAACAAGGACTGCACAACATGGATTGCACGATCTAGTTTTTCTTGTTTAGGAAATTTGGATCGGAGGACGCGGAGCTTGCGTGCCATCGGCAGCGACCTGAAGAGGAAATTTCTTGACGCCCTCCAGGAAACTTTAGGACGGCATCAGGGAGTCCGCTGCGCTCCGCGAGCAATAGGCCTCGCAGGTGGCGGCCCCTGGCGGCAACCCGACGAGCAACCTCGAAGAGGCCGACAGCACCAGGGCGAGAAGTGCTCGTGCGACAAGGTCGTCCGCGGCCTCGGCTTCCTTGCCATGGACACCACTTGCGCCAGAAGTGCGCCGTGTTAGAACGCGCTGGCTGCGGTCCACGAGATGATGCGAAGGCCGACGCGGAGCTGCTCGTGGCAAGGGTGTAGGACCTGGCGAAGTACCACCAGGCGGAGGGCGCGACAGCCCTCGAGCGGGGGCAGACGCTCAAGGCAGCGACGCACTGCCAGGACACGCTGGCCTTCGCCGAGCCCTTGGGGTGCCAGTAGGTGCGTGAGGTACAGACGGGCATTCTGTTCGGGGACGAGAATGCCAAGTTGTCGGACATCCAGTGCGCCGCCTACCGGATGGTACGACAACCCATTTGGCAAT